GACGCGTAAAGCAGTCGCCAAGAGGAAGGTCGGGGGCACGGGCCAGCCTAATTAACTACCGAGCCAAGCGCAAGACGGCCGGGCCAGCACTCAGAAGCGGCTGCCGGGGGGCTGCAGCTGGAGGGAGCAGGCAGGGAAGTCTGCAGACGCCCAGGGTAGCTAGTGCAACGTGCAAGCCGGAGGCTGAAAGACGCCAATGTCTGAAGTAAGCCCTGCGCGCCAGGAACGCATGATCGGTTGTGTAGATGCGAACGCGCGTCGCACTAGCGGAGCGCTACCACTGCCAGGCAAACCAGGAAGCGGTGCGCCACCAGGAACAGAGCTGGAAATCACGCATTCGAGCTCAGGTACCAATGACAAGAGCCAGGTACAGTCTGACCATGTCGCCGCAGGGCGCCAAGGGCCAGTGCCGCAGCTGCGGCGTGGCACAGGCCAAATAGGCTGGGGCGGGGCGCCAGTGGGGAAGCACGGTGTCCGCTGGAAGGCTGCGCCACTCCGCGACACATCACTTAGACCCTGAAGTCGACGCCAGATCCGGGCGGCAGTGGCGAGCGTGGACCAAGCCCCAGGGGCCGACTGCACCAGGGAGCCTGGCTAGTGTGCGTCGTGGGCGCCGCGCGGAGGGGGCCGCGTATTGCGCGGGAGGACAAACAGGCAGGTGGGAACGGACACCACCGGGCCGGCGAGAGAAAGGCGCCCACCAGGGGAGTCCAGCGCCAGGGGGCGGCTAGCCACACAGCGATGCGGGGCTGCACTGTCACGTGGCAATTGGCCGCCCTGCCCTTATGAGATCCTCGCGTGGCGTGGGCGGGTGGGAACTGACATCGCCTGCCGGCCGGGGGCCCACATGAAAGGCTCAGTGCCGGGGGGCGGCCGGTGGCCATGCGAGCTGAAGACGCAAGTCTGCGAGAACGCACGGCCACCGGCGGCCCTGTCCTCGTGCATGCGGGGGCGACTGGCCGACGACCATCCCGTCCGCATGAAGAGAAAGAGGGGGGGAGTCAGAGAACCAGGGAGCGGCTGACGGCCGCGCAGGTAAGTAATTACGTGAACTCCACAGCCCAGTTGAAGCCCATGGGAGCTCTCCTTGCCCGCAGCGGGTAGACTTCCATCGTCTTGGTATCCCCTGTGCCCGCGTGGCTCCCCCGGCATCCATCCTGCCCTAAGTGGGCAATCCTGCGCTGGGGAGGTGGTCGGCCTCCCAGATCCTGGTCGTCGGATTGCCAGAGACTGACCATTCTTCGCTGAGTGCAGGTCCGACCGCGGGGCCTCTGGCAGGTGGCCGATCCACCCTGGACTGTGCAGGGAGATGCGGCTGCTGGCCGGATCGACCGTGGTGAAAGAGAGGGGGAGAAAGCCAGGGGACCAGGGAGCAGCTGACGGACGCACAGGTTGTTGTGATAATTTCGCTACTCTGGGGGGAGGCGAGGTACGGGTACGCTCCTTGCTCGCAGTCAGTAGCCGTCGGAAGGTGGCTGATCCCACAGGGGGCCAGGGAACGGCAGGTGGGGGTACTTTTTTGGTTGGCGGCTCCAGGACAAAGGTCAAGAAGCGGGATAAACGACTGGGGTACAGGCCGTAGAAAATTGACCAAAGCGGCGCGTAAGCCGCAAAAGCGAGTGCACGTGCAAGGGACAAAATGACCCTCATTAGAGGTGATGCTAGGGACAAGATGACCCGAATTGAGCACAGCGGACCGACGCCGACATCCCGACGGGTGGAGACGCCACCCGACGTGCAGCGGCAACTGCGGCCAGCGTGGAGAAGTCGCACCAGTGTGTGGGAAACACGACGCAACGAGCGGCAGCAACGGCTGTACGGCTAGGCCATGTGTACTGTAGCAGCGCGGGGAAGTCGCCCTGTCGGCGCCAAACTCCAGCCGAACGACACACGGAGCGAGGCAAAGAGGGGGGCAAGAGAGCTGCTGCGGACGCCAGACGGACACCCAGCGTCAGAAAGAGAGGGGGAAGCGGCACAGAGAGGGGCCTCACTCACCATGACTCACTGTCGCAGAACTCGGGTACGCCCGCCCTTGGACACGGGAGGGAAGGCGACCCAGTCAGCGAACACGAGGTAACGCCACTTCCAACCTGTAGCCCGTGCGTACACAACGTATCCGACTCTCACAGTTCGGGGGCACGACGTTGCAAGCGATGACAGAGGCAGATGCGAGACGGGGCTGGGGGAGCGGCCATGTCCTGCCGAAGGATGAACCACTCGTGCAAGACAGACACTCCCTTGTGAGGCCCGTCATCAGGTAGCACCAGAAGTGAGGTTAGAGAACACGCCTATCTCCACCTTGCACGAAGCCAAAGCGACGTCCTTGTAGTAGCGCCATGACCTGGTCCACGTAGATCAAGGCGATACGCAGGTGGTGGTGGCACTGCCTGCCGCTGAGCGCGGTGTCCACGGGGAAGGGCTGTTCCCACTCCACAGCAGCATCACGACAGCGTACGCAGGCTGACAGCCAGCCGATAGCCAGTAACCACATCATATCCGGCCCGCGAAGTCCGGGGGCCCACCAATGTGATGTCCTGGCGAGGGCAGGGCGTGTGGCTGCGCCGGGATGAGAAACCACCTGTCCGCTGGGGGCTGCACCACGCGATACAGGCCGCTCGGACGGCGTGGTGCATGGTATCCACCCCCTTCCACCACCTGCCACGATGCCCCTTCGGAGAACGGGTGCGTCCGTGGCTGAGGTAAGCAGCACGTCGCCAGAAGCCTGTCCGCAAGTCAATGTGCTGACCCGCTGGGGTGGTCGACGCTGTCCGCTCCCAGGTCACGATATCCTCTCACAACGCACGGGGCGCAGCCAAGAGCCGCAGAGACTTGTGAATGAACGAGGGGGTGCATCCTGATGCCGCTGGGCACAGGTGCTGCGCCCTGGGCATCCACGCATGGCCCGTACCAGGGCGGAAGCACTTCATCGACCACAACACACTTCGCGGGGGGGCGCAGCCAAAAGCCGCACAGACTTGTGAATGAAGGGCGGGAGGAGGAGGAGGAGGAGGAGGAGGAGGAGGAGGAGGAGGAGGAGGAGGAGGAGGAGGAGGAGGAGGAGGAGAGGGCACCACCACGGCCCAGGGCGCTGGGGGTGAGCCCAGTCGTCAGAGACGCAGTGATTGGTGCAATCTTGGCGATCAGGATGGGGGGCGCAGCCAAGAGCCGCAGAGACACTGTGAATGAGTCCGGTGGGGGGCGCAGCCAAAAGCCGCAGAGACATAGTGAAAGATGAGGAAGAGGGGGCGCAGCCAGAGGCCGCTGAACACTGTAGGCGATCCCGATCGTCCACGCGAGGAGCTTCCACACCACATGGGCCTGTGAGAGATCGCGGGTGGAGCGGTGCTTCGACCCCCACCTGCTGTCGTACAATATGCTATTGAAAGAGGTGGAGCGCTGGAGGTGGGTTATTTCAGCCACCAGACCCTGTCGTCCAAAGTAGGTTGCCCTGGAGGGGCGGCACCGACGGCCCCCTAGCCCATGGGGCGTCTGGGGCTGAGTGCTGGCAGTGCGGCAGCTGGTTACCCCTATCACTGCCGTGCACACTGCCAGAAAGGGTGGAACGCAGGGGGTGGGATATTTCAGCCACCGGTCACTGTCGTCCAAAGTGGGCAGTCCTGGGCAGGCGCGGACGGCCCAAGAGTCTATGCTGGCGGCCGTCTCCGTGGTGGAGGCTGTGGCAACACTCCCACGCAGCGATGGCCGCAGGGGTGAAGTGCCTGGCAAGGTCCACGTCTCCAGCGTGGGCTGTCTATCGGTGACGCTCACAGGTGTCCCTCGCCCCCGCGAGGGTAGCACGTAATGGGTCGAGGCAGGGTACTACAAGGTCCACGAGACCAGCGTGGGCTGTCTAAACGCGCAGCGCAAGGGTCTTGGCGATCCTCCGCCCCAAAGGAGGTAGCCCTGGGTATTGCGGCAGATGCCGGGCGCTGCGGGTGAAACTTAGTGGGGAGGTTGGTTGCGGCGCGTGCCGGGCAGGGAAGGGGGGAGGTAGTCTGTGCTACCGCTGCAGGCAGCACGTGAGTTGGTGGCCATGTCGGCGAGCGTTGCGGCACTCCTCACGCCTGGGGTGGGGATACGCGAAGCGTCAAGAATGTATGAAAACAAGCATGGAAAACATTATGCTGTTCTTGCTGGAGGGGGCCAACGTGCTCAAGAGCTGGGTCATGTTTCCAGCAAGTTGGTTAAGAAATGCTGGTCCAGATTTTCGGGGGGAGGTTTGTTGGTCACATGCTCGAAAGCACCTTGGGTAGGCCGCCTTCGGCAAGCATGGGTTGGCGGAGCGCCTAGCCAAGCACTCCTCCTCGCCAACCCCCTCTTCGTCCCCCCCCCGCCACCTCCCCCCTGGAACGTTGTGCAACATAAGAAAAAGCGTTACACTCGAATACGGAACGAACCCCCCCTTATGGCACCAGAAGGGCCTGCGTGCACGAGGGCCATAGGACCACCCACCCTTCCGAACCCGAAGCGGTCCTCGTTTCAGCGTCTCGGCTGCACAGCACTAGCCAAACACTCATCACGCACAACGTTGCGTAGGGGATGGGCCATTCAAATCAAACCGACCTGTGATCGCACGCTGGTCGTGGGGCCGGACCCTCCTCCGCACACGCCTAGATGGCTCCCAGCGCACACAACCGCCATGCCAGCCCATACCATCACAGATCACGTAGCAGGTTTGAGGTCGGAGGAAGAGGAGGATCAGTATCCCAGGAGCGCTGCACTGGGCTGTCACTCTTCAGGGGCCTTCGAATGTGCTTACGAGAGCGGGGTTCTTCGTCTTTCCAGGAAAGCAAGAGCTATAGTCAGTAACGTCAACAGCTGGCGGCTGACGTGAACGTCGGCCCTACGAGGCGTCCCCCCACAAGGATGGAAAACAGCAGCCGAGGGTATCTATACACGCGGGTCGGCGCCGTGGCGCGAGCCTAGCCTTCGAGGGATGAAACTCCGACGGCTGGCTGGCAACGACAGCCTCAAGCGAGCCGGAAATCACGTATGCCGTTTCAGGTCATCGATGATCTTCTGAAACATGCTTTCAATTCCATCGTCATCTTGTTCTTGAGGCCCACGCTTGCCTTGCTGATGGATCTGCTTGACCTTGGATTCTTGAGTTCTAGGTCCACGATTGCTGCACCAAGAAGTTGCTGCTCCAAGGGACGCCCTGTCAAATACGACACAAACTCTGGATAAGATATTTTGCCGTCGGAAAGCAAATCCGCTTCAGAGAGAAGACTGTCTACCGACTCCCCCTCGTACGATTCACCCAATACCTCACGTAAGTTTTCGAGGGAGATGAACCCGGAGTTATCCTTGTCGAACCTCTTGAAGGCAGACTTGAGGTGATCATCGTGCATTTGAATTCTACAGCCGACCATGGCTGCGAGGAAATCACTGTAATGAATCTCCTCGTCCTGATTCTGGTCGAGGGCCCGGAAGATGCTCTGAACCTCCTCGCCAGGTATGTCGAACTTATCCTGCAAAACCTTCTTCAACTCCACGAGTGTGATGGTGCCCTGTTGACTTTCGTCCATCGCTATGAAAGCGTCGCGCACCTGTGATCGCTCCTCGTTTGTCAAGGACCACGCCATCATTTCCATGCAGCAGCGGCGGAACTTGGAGGCCTGGCCGGGCGTAAAAGCGCCCTGGGTGTTTTGTTTTGTTTCGTTTTGTAGCGTTTTCGATCTGGGGCTCTCGACAAGCTGAAAACGCACACCTAATACTACTTCGTTGTCTTTGTTAACGCACGTGCTATGTTCTGTGAGCTGTGTAGATAGGGCCGGGGCTGAAACTGGTCCCAGCGCGGAAAAAAAAGTGAGAAAAACCTCTCTCACACCAGTCTGTCACGGGTGCGAGCAGGCCGCGGCGGGCTCCGACGATGGAAATCAATCTATCAGAACTGAAGGGGCCCTGGGACACACAAATAAATACACACAAATAAAAGGATTCCCCATATTTCCACGTATTTTTGTGGTTTTTGTCTTCCCCCCCACTTCCCATATTTTCCCATGTTTTCCTGGGGGTCGACGATTAATTGTGTCTGTGTGTTTTCTCCCCTCCTGAAAAACGCGGTGAAGTATAGATGACAAGTTACAATATGTTCGGCTCTCGTGGAGAGAGACCTGAAAACTTTCCAACATCCTACTTGGAAGCTGATTTTGTAAAAAGCCCACGGTGTATTGACCATGAGCCCAGCCTGGCCGAAGGAACGGAGGGCGTCGGCGATGCCGTGGTCGACCTCGAATTTCTTCTTCTCTCTCTCCTTGATCCACTTGTGCTCCAGTGCCTGCGCCGCAGTCAGCCTCTTGGCCGGGTCCACCTGGAGAAGGCTGATAATGAACTTCTGGCCATCTTGAGAAACCCGACCCCAGCGATCGGGCTTCATGACAAACTTGCCCTCGGATATGTTTTTCGTCTGCTGTGCGTCTGAACCACTGAAGGGCATGTAGCCAGAGAGCAGAATGAAGGCAATGACCCCGAGGCTCCAGAGATCGCACTGCTTGTCGTAGCTCTTCAGCAAGACCTCCGGCGCAACGTACGCCAAGGTGCCACAGCTCGCCTGCATCTTGGTGTTGGCGCCACCCATCTTGCTGAACCCAAAGTCGATCAATTTCAAATGGTTGCTCCCTTTCTTATCGTAGAGGAAATTCTCAAGCTTGATGTCTCTGTGGACAATGCCGTGGCTGTGGATAGCCGCCGGGCCCCCTGGGGCCACCATGCTGCGATGACGGGCCCACAATCGATATTGCAGGTTGGGCCAACACGATGAGACTTGCATGCCCAGTCACCCGCTGTTTGTCTCCCCTCAGCACCACAAGGGGAACTTGTGACGCCCGAGCCGCCCAGTCGACGGAGACAGAGCCACACCCTTGCGGCAGAGGATCCCGAACAGCTCTACACAGCCACGATGGGGGCCACGAGGGGGGGGTCGCCATGGGGGGGGCCACGAGGGGGGAATGGGGACTGGGATAGGGGCATGGATAATAGGTCAGGGATGCTGGGCCAGGGATGCGGGGCCAGGGAACGGGACAGGGACGGCAGCGGGAGGCAACGGGAGGCCACAGGAGGCAGCGCCGGGCCACGGGGGGCCACGGGAGGCAACAGGAAGCCACGGGACGCTACAGAAGGCCACGGGAAGCCACGGTAGGCCGCGGGAGGCCACGGGAGGCCACAGGAGGCCACGAGAGGCAACAGAAAGAACATCGCCCGCCCGATTCTGGAACCGACCGCACCCCCACATGCCCTTAGAAGCATCTAAACCCCTAAAAGACAAGCTGCTCAGAGAACAAAGGCCTTAGAGGCGTGGGAACGAGGGTTCACTTAAACACTGTGAATAAGACGCGTGGAACTCGTGCGCTTGATCGTATGGGGCACATGGAACGCGTTGGAATCATGGGGTGTATTGGGCGCATGGCGCGCACAGCCAGATCTTCCCAACACCAACCGGAATGCTGGGGCGCCCCCCGTACCTATGGAAGACCGGTTGAGAAACGCCTATATAGCATCTTCTTAGAATGCATATCATGCGTTGGCTCTGACGCCATATTCGCAAATTCAGGGCCATCATGCTTGTGCGCATGTTTGGCTGGCTACCAGGTTACCAGAGCCAGGGGCCAATACCAATGGTGTGAGCAACACGCACTTCAGAAGTAGTGACAGTAGACATGGTGATATGGCATGGTTTGGTCATAATGTTTAGTAGTACCTCCGCCACAATAAACAAGGGTAATGCTGCATTCCTTGCGATGGTGACACCCGTGCCAGTCGTAACCGTCTTCGTCTTAGGAGTATGAATCGCTCATCGGAATCGTGGCAGCAGTGATGGTAGTGATGGCGGCCGTCGATCCAATACTAAACATTGTGACGCGAGTGGTGGTAGTAGCAGCAAAATGTGTGGAAGCGCTACCAATCGCATCACTGAGACGAGTGCTGCGGGTAAGCGTGCCACAACATTATCAACGCATTCGGATGTGAGTGCGGATGAACGTGTGGATGATCACGGGGATAACGATGATAAGCTTCCATCGTCGTGGGTCTGGGCCTCTGAGCTATCCCAGGACCTCCTCGATAGCCCCCCTCCCAAGAGACCCCCAAGGCGTTCGAAAGCTGTTGTGATATCTTTTCGTGGTGCACCGATAGATCCCCTGGGGCCCACGACGACACCAATCCGCCACAGTGCCCCCCCTAGCACGTTGAGGCGTGCTAGAATGCGACGTGCTGTCTGGCGTGGTCCTTGAAAATCTCATAAGCCCCCCCCCCGCTCGTCGCATCCCCCTGCGCGCACCGCCCCCGTCTTTCCGAAGCTCTGGCGGCGCCAAGACACGGCCCACGATGCCTCGTAGACGGCCCAAGGCGGCCTCCAGAGAGCCTCTAACAAGGCCAGAAAAGGCTAGCATCATTGATGTGCTTCAGATGTTGACGAGATTCTAACACCTTCACCTTTTCGAGCCGTCGGCCAAAGACGGCCCAAGTGGCCTCAAAGGTGGCCCCACGACAGCCCAGGTGGGCCTCGAGATAGTCTAAGAGTCCTCCAAGACGGTCAAGACAGCCCAAGAGGGTTCCTGGACAGCCCAGGATAGACTCAAGAATTCCGCAAGCTGGCATGAAGGACCCAGGACGGCCTGAGAGGAACCCTCGAGGGCCCAAGACGGCCCACGATGGCCCCAAGAGACTCCCCAGACGGCCACGAGGACGCCAAGAGAGCCCCAAGGCAGGCCAAGAGGAGCCAAAGACGGCCCAGTGGGCCCCAAGACGGTCCAATAGGGCCCCAGTGGCACCCAAGAGTGCTCAAGAGGGCCTCGAAACGGCCCCAAGAAGGGCCCAGGAGGGTGAACACGCACGGACAATCCGAGCCTTCCGCCTCAAGAGGGCTCAGGAAGCCCCCGGAGGGCCAAAAGAGGCCCCCAAGAGGCCCCCGAGAGGCGAACGCCATCGATTTTCCTTAGCCTTTTCAATGTTTTGGGGGCCCCCCGAAGGCCCCCCCGAGAGGGCTCAAGAGGCCACTAAGAGAGCTCCAAGACGGCCCAAGCAGCGCCAAAGACTGCCCAAGAGGACCCAAGAGTGGAAGCACGAACCAAGACTCCGAGCCTTCTGCCCCAAGAGGCCCCCAGCAGGCCCCCTTGAATTCTCGAATGGTTGCCACCCAGAATGCCGCGCTGGCACGGTGGCCGAAATGCCGGAAGCAGCTGGAGAAAATCCCAAGGGTCCCGTAGAAGAACCCGTAATAACGAGTCGGTATCCCTCATGCGATGTCTCACCCTTCGCGAACTGCATACCCAGTGGGCCCAGAAAGAGCCAAGAACAAATCCCCAAGCGAGGCTCGTTCCCCATCCCATCAATCTCCAACGATGCCTGAAAGATGTCGCGTACAGACCCGAGAGGTCCTCATATGGCTCCCAATTGTCCTGAGAGGCACCAGGGAAACTGCAACATGAGCCCCCGAGTGCGTTCAAGGCGCCGCCGATGACAGGCACTAGAACTGCCCCTGTAGAGCTTCAGTATGGCTTCAAGGCAGCCTGATAATCATCTCCCCGACAACCACAAGATGATTCGAGATGGCTCCACAACTGCTTTGAGAAACGGTCCTGGGAACTCCAGGTGGGCACCACATCACTTAATGCTGTGCCCAGAACAGCCCCAGGGCGTCGGAGGAAGCCCGACGATGCCCCCAAGAAGGCCAGGCCAGGCCAGCCCAGGCCAGAGCAGCAGACCCCACACGATCAGACCAGACGCATGTCATCGCATGTGTCGGTGTGCAGTCGTGCGGGGGGGAGAGCGAGAGAGAGAGAGAGAGAGGGAGAGAGAGCGAGACAGAGAGAGAGGTTGGAGAGAGAGAGAGAGAGACAGAGAGCGAGAAAGAGAGAGAGAGAGAGAGAGAGAGAGGTGGGAGAGAGAGGCAGGGAAAGAGAGAGAGAGAGAGAGCGATAAAAAGAGATAGACAGAGAGAAATAGAAAGAGAGAGAGAGACATATATATATATATATATATACTCCACCTTAGGAATTCTCTGGTGGCTCGCGGGTTCCCTGGGCCACGGACCGTGAGCGATCTACACGCTTCCCGCGGCAGCTGGCCCATGCTAGAAGCCGAGCGGCGGAGGAAACCACGAGAAGGCGCGAGGCGGCAGCTATCAAATTAAAGAAGTGCTGCAGCGACACCTGTGGATTACCCTACAGGGTCAACCCGAAACTCAGATGAGGAAAGAGCCAACATCGGGCCGCAGCTAGGAGGCAGGAGACGCAGCGAAGGGGAAAGAGGAGAAAAGACGATAGCGAATGGGCAACCAGCCGAAGCAATCAACACCTGGCAGCACCGGCACTGGGTGGACGCCGGCGTGTCGCACAAAGCGCGGGACGGGGGAAAAGGTGGAGAAGAGACAAGAAAAGAGAGGGGAGGAGGAGGAGGACGACGAGGAAGAGGAGAGGGGCACAAACCGGCCGCTATGCAAGCCAGTAGCCCTACGCCTAACGCCAAGAAGAAAAATGGCGAGCAGGCCCCTGGTGAAGAGCATCACCCAAACGACAAACTATCACTGTAAAGATGAGCACGCAAAGGAAGGCGCCAACTACAGAGGAGCGACCGGCTTTACAATGAATGCTGCAAGTTGCCCCGCTGAGAAGATCGAAACTCCACGAAGCAGACCGCCGGCCGAGGAAGAGGGGGAGGAGGAGGCAGAGGACGGGGACAAGGACAAATACGCGAGTAAGGGGGCCACTGGTGGCAACTTCTGTGTCCCCAGCTCCCCCTCGAGACACGCCGGCCGCGGAAACCCTGCGGACGCGGAAACGAAAAAGACGAGGAGGAGGAGGAGGAAAAGTCAGGCTGTGCCAAGGCAAGCTGCATGTGAAAGGGAATCTCGGCGCGAAGCAAAAACATCGCGCCCGCCTAAGAATGCAGATTATTTTCTGTGCCGCGACGGCCCTCGCGGAGATGCTCACGGAACGCGCCCTCGACGTCAGCGGCCTCAAGGCGGGAATGGCGGCGAGCATTGTGGGTGCGGTGCAGGGCGTAGACCGCGACCGCCCAGCACTGCGTAACGTCATCGGTGTGCCGAGGACCTCCGATGTGCAAGAAATGGTCCAACGCCAACCCGCCGGCAGGTAGAAGATCACCGAACAACTTCCGCACCACCGGGCAGAAGGCCATGTGAGAGATGCTGTCCTGGCCCCCGTTGCAGCCGAATCGGCAGGCCCCGTGCCCTCCGAAACGCGAGCTGGTGCACCATCCGTTGCACCAAAGGCGCAGCACCGCAGCCCATGCGCGCGGTTGGCAGAGGCGCCCCGCGCGCTGAAGCGTGAGCACGGCGCGATCGAGGCGCAGCCGCGGAAGCAGGACGATTGACCAATGCGCCAGTTTTCGCCTCAGCATCGCCTGGACGTGCGCGCCGGCAGGGCCGGGGCGGTGGGCCGCGAGCTGCTGGCCAGCGAACCTCTGCCAGCCTGCCTGCCTGTGCCAGCGTTCGTCCCTGGGCGCCGCGTCCCGGACAGCCTGAACTGCATTGGCTGCCCCGCTGAGGTTGCACGGGAAGCTGCTGCCCCGCCGCGCGTGGAGCCAACCGACGCGCTGCAACGAGGCAGATAAGGAGCTGCATGAGAGCTGCTTCGTTACCCGGGCCCTTTCGGAGACGCGGAGGGTTCCTCCGGCCTCGTGCTGGACCACCCTGGCTTTGACAGCGGTCATAGTG